AATGTATCACAATATATAGGATGCTTTATAATCAAGTAATAGTACTAACTGTGCTTAGCAAATAGAATCTTAATCATTTAAATAATTACGAATATTGTACAGTATTTGTGACTCCGTTACCAGCATAGACCACACTAGGATCTACACACAAAAACGTATTAATAAGATGCTTCTTAAACAAATGCTCAGCACTTATTAAACGTTAAAAGCCCTACACTATATAAACTTTGTGAACACTCAGCAGGCTTTACGGGTGCACACGCAAAGTAACTAAAGTCATTCACAAATTGTAAAAACCAGACATTTACACAAACATCTCTTATCGTTGTTCAAAAAAGTGAAGCACCAAATGGAAAGTTCACATATTTAACTTTTAATAAACTTGCTTTAGGAACAGGATCTAACGACGACGACAAACAGGACCTGTCTCGTAGGGGCGCATACTGTACCTGTTAAATTAGGAATAGGCCACTACACACGTAATGCTTTATGAGAAGTTAAATAACACGCATTGAAGGAATATTTTGTCTGTTTATTTTCTGTATATTTAAACAGGGAAACATTTATGAACCGTGTGGAGATTATAGAAGTGTAAATATAATATTATGGTAATGAAAATATTTTTAATTAACTACTCCAGTGGGAGAGAGAAAGTAGTTGAGAGCTCCTCCACCAGGCGACTCAAGAGATGAGTTCTGATCCTAAACAGGCCGGACTTTATACGGTCTGGGTTTTTAGAAGAGTGAATGGGAAAGATTGCGTGTACAGTAGTTTTGTGTGTGTGTGTGTGTGTGTAAATATCTTTTTTTATATTGTATCCACTTTGGTGTGGTGAAGGTTTTACATGGCTTAAGAGGAATTGTCCTTAATTAAATTTTCTTTGTACTTACAGTGCGCGCTTCAGCGGCTGTGCCATCGTTTGTGCTTCCGTGTGATTTACCCACTCTCACATACCAATAGCAACGTGGATGTGACAGGAATATTGTAACGCAACGGGATACAGGTGGGCGCCCTTGCCGCATTAGGTCGGCTCCGCACCGTCGGGGGCTCGAACCCGGGACTCCTGCTTCACTCAACAGGGACCCAGCTAGTTGAGCTAAAGAGAGATCTCTCTACAGCCCAGGGGCTGTAGTCCTGCTATCACAGGGAAGGGCAGCGACGTCACCGCTCCGGTAAGCCAGCTCTTACACAGTACCTGTTAGCCATATACGTTACAATATGTTTAGGAAAAAAAAGTCCTTTGTACACAAAATTATTTTAATTGCAATTGTATAAACTTTTCCAGGTTGGGCTTGCAAGTATCGCATGATTTACAAGAGCATTACAGTCGACTCAGAACTTACGCGGGGGTTGGGGATTTTGAGTGGAGCAAAAAGCCAAATTCTCGTCTAAGCAAAGTTTATCCTGTAGCTTATAAAAAAACATCCTTCTAACCTCTAATGGTAATCCAAGATTTAAAATGTTTAAATTAAGTATTAAAAATAACTATTTCTGCGTACTAAAATTAGCAAGGCAGCTGAGGCACTGACAGTATAGAGCTGCTGTGCATTACCTGTAAGATCAGCTTTGCACAGAAATTATATTGGAAGTGTTTTTTAAAAAGTAGACCGCCTCCAGTATAAACAACAAAAGAATTTGAACAGTCAAATGAGAAAAAACATGTAAAAGGCTTTAATTTTTCGGTTTATACT